TTATTTGTTGTGTCATTTTATCCAAATAAAAATATATATCTAAGTATTATGAAATATTATACTTGATCAGCATCCACTATGATGAAAATAGTCGAGAATGAAACAATCAAACATAGTTGGTTAGTTTTCAATTAACAATAAGAAAAACTATAACTACAAATGATAGTTATTACATATTCGACTTATTTTCAAAGAGCATAACGCAAAAAGACATTAAAAATCTATATGATGATGACAATGATAATGATCATTATTTTTAAGCATAATGAGTTATCATTAGATAACAAAATCAAAGACGACATAAATTTTACTGTGGATTTTCAAACCAATATTTTTTATTTAATTTTTATGTCACAGTTTGATAAAAAGTATTAAATATTATTTTTCATTATTTAATACATTTATTACTGATTATTATAAAATAGACAATTTTTTATTAACTAATAGAATGAAAATTATATTATACTATTAAATGTAAATTTAATAATAAAAACAAATTTAAGTAAAGAAAAAATGATTAATATCACGTGCGTAGCACGCGCACCTTCCTAGTTTCAATAAACTTCCTACTTAAATGTCATGCATCTCATAAAAGAACATTCTCTTCTGCATATACAACAACAAATATACTTATTCTACATATTCTTACATACCTTTTACTTATTTATTTCATTTCTTTCTTACATTGATTATAATATGCACATTTTGAAAAATTTACATACACACACACAAAAAAAAAACATGTCCTCCACACTAGCTTATTCCATATACCGATGGCTACGAAAAAAAAAAAAAAAATTATTCCCAACCTCAAACTACATTCAAATCCTTCGTAACCCAACTACCATCTCTTTATAAACAAAAAATAAAAATTCAACATAACCCAACTACCATCACTTTATAAACTTATGTTTGCAAATAACTAATATGTACAACCCAACTTATTATATGGGATTAAAAACCAATTAAAAAACAATTATGAATTCAAAATGTTTATAAACTATTTAAAATGTTATAGGGAAAAATTCAAATTTTGCTACATGTTACGACTTCAAACTACATGTAATTACCAATTTAAAATTGAAATTCGGTACACGTGCAATGCACGTGCACCTTACTAGTAAAATTAAAAGTATGATTTAAATTTCAGGGTTCTCTCCCCTCCTCCACTCTACCAGATTTGGAATTTGTGTTGCAATTTTTTGCGACCGTTAAAGGAAAGCATAAGTACTATAGGAAGCAGACTATGACAGATCATAGGGAGTATGATGAACATCTCGTAAAATTTATTGGATGTCATAGATTGCGTGCTGTGGACTCGACACCAAATCCGGTACAAAACGATGTGAAGTATGGTGATGTTGCAGACTTCTTGGATGCAATTAAGGCTGATGGTTTGAGTGTCGATGACATAATGAATTGTATTGCGGCATATCTAAGTGTGTTGTTCATTCTTGGAGAAAGTGCAGTCTACAGCTCGCTCAAACTAGTTGCTAAAATGTGGTTGCGTCATGGGTCTGAAACTGGTCTTATAGAGTATTGTCTTATGTCTGCAAGAATCTTCAAACAACTTATGTCCATTCATGAATTGATCGACCCGTGTAAGAATAAGGAAAAAACATATTTATTGTTTTTGTTCTTTTTTATCAAAGTTTGTGTTATTTGTTTTCCTGCAGGATTGGGTCTGAAGGTAAATGAAGAAATGGAGGTTGACAATTTTTTAAACTTTTATTTCGAAAATTGTGTTGTTTTCACTATCAGAGGAGAATGGTGGTTCTAAAATTCCCTATTTGCTTGAAGCCTTAGTTGAGATTGTCGATGGTTGCATTAAGTTCCAGGTGGAACACAAGTGAACCAAATCCCGTAGAATTTACCCGCGCAATGTTAGGGTTGTCACTAAAACCCGTAGGGTCGGGTTACCCGTGGGTTACCCGTATTTTTGGGTAGGGTAAACCCGAGATGATTGGGTTTCTGGTCGGGTTTGGGTAGAATTATGCTACCCGAACACCGGGTCGGGTCGGTGCAGGTATAGTAGGCAAACCCATTACCCGACCCGATTACCCTTTTATATTTATAATAAGTTATAAATATATATTTGTTATAAATATATATTTATAATAAGTTATAAGTATTTATAACATGGTGTTCGGGTAGCATAATTCTACCTGAACCCGACCCGAAACCCAATCATCTCGGGTTTACCCGACTCAAAAATGCGAGTAACCCACAGGTAATCCGACCTTACGGGTTTTAGTGACATCCCTAACTTTGCGGGGGTAAATTCTACAAGACTTGGTTCACCTATGTCGTCCACCTGGAACTTAATGCGACCATCGACAATCTCAACTAAAGCTTCCAGCAAATAGGGAATTTCAAGACCACCATCCTCCTCTTATAGTGGAAACAATGCAATCTTCTTGAAATAAAAGCTTCGAAAAGTGTCAACCTCCATTTCTTCATTTGCCTTCAGACCCAACCCTACAGAAAACAAATAACATAAAATTTGAAAAAAATTGAAAAAAATAAATATATAAGTTTTTGCTTATTCTTACACGGGTCGATCAATTCATGAATAGACATAAGTTGTTTGAAGATTTTTGCAGACATAAGACAATACTCTCCCTCTATAAGGCCAGTTTCAGACCCATGACTCAACCACATTTTAACAATTAGTTTGAACGAGCTGTAAACTGCACTTTCTCCAAGAATGAACAACACACTTAGATATTGTGCAATACAATCCATTACGTTATCAACACTCAAACCATCAGCGTCAATTGCATCAAGGAAGTCTGTCATCACCATACTTCACATCTTTTTTTACCGGATTTGTTGTCGAGTCCACAACACGCAATCCATGCCATCCAACAAATTTTACGAGATGCACATCATACTCCTATGACCTAACATAGTCTGTTTCATATAGTACTTATGCTTTCCTTTAACGGTCGCAAAGAATTGCAACCCAAATTCCAAATCAGGTAGGGTGGAAGAGGAGAGATACCTGGGTGCAAGAGGAGAGATATCTGACTGGTCTAATCTTATCTGAACTATCTTATTCTGATCTGACTTACCTGGTTGAGTTCGGAAAAATACTGAATCTCGGATCATGCTCAAACCGATATTCCGCAAATCGCCCAGACTATCCGGACCGATTCGACTGAACTGGATTGGCGGCTCGATCTGAGCTGGCCGGTTGCTCGTCTGACTGGGTGCAACTCGGCTTAACCGTGATCCGGGTACATACGCACGGACACGGCATCAGTCGACGCACAACTTTTCTACTCGGATCTAGAGTTCATCCGAATTGACGGGAAAAGGCCGAACTAGGGTTCTCTATTCAGCTGGTTATCTATCTTGGTTCAAGTCGAAACTCAAACTCTAAATTCAACGTGATTTCTAGTGATTTTAGTCCCAACAACTGCAGCTAATTCTCAACCGGATAATATCTGGCAATCTTCACAAAAAGCAACTAAAGCCCCAAATTATTAGGCATACCAAACAGTCTCCAAAGTTACAGTCATATCACATTTAGCATTTATAAGATTTTTTCATAAAGTTTCAACGCATTTCGAGGCCTTTATCATTTTTATCAAAAATCGAGCATACCGACTACATATTAAACAAATCCGATAAAAATAGTAAACGGGCACCAAAAATCACGAAACTTAACATATAATCTCAACATGAATAAAGTCCAAGGTCAAAACCTCAAGTCTCAAGTCAACACCTATCAACGTTGAACTTAAAATTACTACGACCGGTCAATTTACTCAAACCACTCGTTCGCCTATCAAACAGACACCAAAAATTAATCCGATTACATCTTAAGCCTCAAGCCAAAGGGACGAATTTTATCATATTTATTTCGGTATTTTTTCCCGATTATATCAAAAGTCTAGGAAAAATCTCTTTAAGTCCAAATGTCCCGATTTTTACCAAAATCGCTCAATTCAACTCATCATTTTCTCTTATCTCGATTATATTATTTAGTCTAAGCCATAAAATTTGAATTTAATTAGCTAGCTAGCTTAATAAATTTCCTTCACTCAACTAGAATCAGTTTTCTTATCACATTATATATTTTATAATCAATGATTTAGAATCATACAACATGCTGATGTTTGCTTATCCTTTGAAGTCACAAAATTTCCCACAAAAGCATGCCACCACCTACCAGTTCGTGCTCTACAACATTGAAGAGGTGTGTGATACTATGTTTATTTAATTTGCTTCACCTTACATTATCCTTCTAAATCATCTCTAAGGCTAGTAAAAACTGAACCTTAAATAACCTACTGAAATTAACCTCTTTTTGGAAGCAGTATAATCGCATAGACACAGCTTCAGAATTTCTTCCAAATTCAGGACAAAATACAATTTTCGGAAGCTATTAACTCAAGGCATCTAATTTAATTTCTTAAAATTCTTAACTCCTAATTGTAAAGCATCATGAATTCAAAATAAAATATGGCTCATGGCTAAGCAACACTAAACAAATTTTCAAGGCAAGAGTCTCGATTTCTTTTACCTCTTTTCCTCTTAAATTTTCATAAACTTTAGCATGCTTTAATCTCATTCCTCCTTTTGAATATTAACTTATATGAATTCGACCAAAAGAAATAGGCTCAACAGAAGTACCTCTATTCGGGAAATAAATTAGGACAATGGCTGAAACGCGGGTGATGTGCTCGGGCTCGGGGTCACCGGCGACTCGCCGGAAAGCTGCGGTTTTGGCCAAAAAACGGGAGGTGGTGGCCGGATCTTACATGGAGGGTGGTGAAGGGAGCTTGCTCTTTGATTTTTGAAGATAGATCTTGAGGATGGAGCTTGGACCTTGATTTGAGCTAAGACATGATATAATTACTACTCAAAAGAATAACTAAAAGAAGACAATTGAATGATATTCGAGAGCAGGACACAGGTACCTTAAGGAGTTCTATCTCTTCTTTGGTTGGACAGAATTTTATCAGGTTATCAACCTAATCGATATCCAATGCCTAGTCGTCCAAAGCAAGTACTGAATTCTGTGAAAGATGGTACACAATAAAATGACATTTAATTGGAACAAGAGTGATTCCAATATATCTCTGAACAAGAACTATTTTGTAAAAATATTGGATTTTGATTTCAAGAAAACAAAATGAGGTAAAGAATTTTTAGTCTTAAATGTATAGACTAGTAATTTACTATAAACCCTGCTTATAAACGAATCACACCGCTGTTGAGTTTAATAAAAGTACTTTAAATTATTAGAGAAACGACACAGCTACTTGACAGAACAAGATCACATGTTGGCTAAAGTTCAGTCAAGCATTAAGCTAGAAAGTTGAAGTAAGGTGTACAACATTAAACTTCCCAAAAGATTTCGGAGTTTAGCTTACCATCAAATCCGACAAGGGAACCTTGACTTTTGTTAGCATAATTTCGCAGTTGTATGCTCTTCGGAGCTCGATCTGCAGAACGTACATTTAACTTAGAAAGGAGGCAATGATATAAAAGCTCTGTGAAAAAAAAATAAATTAGTGCAGAGGGTACCAAATGAACTTTGTTGGGTTTGAGTCCTGATGATCCACGCCTATTCGTTTTCCTGCCAGTATCCCCGTGGTCTGAATTTGTGACGGTGATCGAGAATAAACTTTCGATTTCAGAAATGTCCAGCTCAAGAACTCTACAGAAAAGAAGACACAAGTGAAGACTTGATTACTTCAATATCATCATCTGATGACAGCACAGTACTTCAAAATAAAAATTATAAAATGATCACTCACTTTGAAGCCTCTTCAGGTCTTTGCGCCTCGGCCCACAAACTGCCTTGCATGGCTCTTGTTAGCTTGAACCAGTGGTACGCCCTGAGAGGTGCCTTTCTCGGTTGCGCTTGAGTTTGAGTTCTCATGCTCGCCTGTGGCTGCAATTTTCCCTTCACACTCTGAAGATAAGTGGGCCCGCCTTTTGAAAGAGGAGCTGGCGGAGGTGGAACAACTTGTCGGCTCCTAGCTGGCGGCAATGCAGCATGCTGAGGTGGCGGCGGTTGAGATGGGGCGGCAGGTGGTACAGTTGATTTCTGTGAAGAAAAGGGTGGTGGAGGAGGAGGAGGAGGAGGAGGAGGAGGAGGAGGAAGGGATTTCGGTTTTTCCTTGGGCTGACAAGGCTTTGAAGAGTCAGTAAGGTCCACAGGGTTTTCTTGACACGAAGCGGATGCTGATGTGGATGGAGACTGGACTTGTCTGTTATTGAATTCGGCGTGGTCGTGCAGCAGAGCTTTTATACCTAGTGCTGAGGTGGCTGCACCTCGGTATCTCGAGAGAGGTGCTGGCGAAAGCGAGACTTGCGAGGAATTTGAGATATTCGTGGGAGTATAATTTTGGACTGAGCAGGCCTACTTACAAAAACATGCGGCTCGCTCGAATCTGTCTGAATCATCGTTTGATTTTAAGAAGGTAGACGGTGTTACCATTAGCTTTGTTTGTGCAGATGTTGTGTTGTTTTCAGAAGCTCCATTTTTCAGACTCACTACAAGTAATTGATCATCTTTGTTAACAAGATTACTAGAATGCTTTTTTGAACAGTCTCAGGGGAGTGCATGCTCGATTTTGCTTCATTTTGGACAAAGACATTTTCGAGTTTTTCATCTCTGCCACTTGGGGCGACTGACATTCGTTGGGTCGTCTTAAGATCATAATCACCCTCTGAAGCTCCAGAATGAAAGTTGGTACATGTATCTTGAATTTTAACACATGCTTTGGTTGCCAAATCTTCTTTGTCCTTACTGGGTGAATTAAGCCCACCAAGAGTAAAAGTCGAAACCGTCTCAGATAAAGAATCTTTAACACGACCAAAAAAAGAAAAAAAAATGTACAAAATTAAGAGGTTAGCAGAAAGTCAGTCTTTAAACAAATTAAAATGTGAATACCTCGGCTCTAAATTCATTGGGAAATTGATCCTTGACATCCCACGTTGTATCAATAAGTGTCATTGTATTTGCTCTAACAAACTCTGTAGTGAACATGATGCGACACGACACTTCTTCATGCTCTGACTTACCGTTAACACACTCGAGCACGTCGCCTTGAACAGAACAATTGACATAAACTTTAGCCAGATCAAAATCTGCCTATAACAAATGGCGACACACGAAGGAAAAACAGGTATTGAATAAATTACTGTATCTAGTTTGATTGAGCAAATTAATCAAAACAACTTTACAAGAACAATGCGGAGTTTTAAATGATTATACAAATGTGCAGGTCTAACAAATTCAGCAAGATTAGGAAGTATAAATACATGAGACGTAGCAAACCTGTCTGAATAACCTCACGACTTTCCTCTCTTTGGCCACTGAAAAGAGTATTTTACATGTCCTATCAGCAGCTGCAAAAGGATCCGACCCATATATCCTAAATATGGGTCCACGAGGCCACTCTCCATACACATTGCTTGATATCACGTCCAAGGTTTTACGCTCATCAGTACATTGCTTGTTATATATCAAGAAAGCTGCAAGCATGAAGGCTAATATCGGCAAGAAACCGTTCTCACAATGCATCAACAGTAAATTCCTCTTCCCAGATGAAATCCATTTATGGCTCGTGCTCAAGAAGTGCTGTACCGTTTCCAGTGGGAGTGAAAGACGGTTTTTACTCTGGCAATGGTAGTTTATTACGGTCATACCATACTTAGGAAGTGTGTTACTAATTGGACTTTGGTGATTTTCATCCCCAAAGTTCTGAACCATGAGTGAAGACTCGGGGAAGTGTTCACGGAGTTGTTCCACGGTATGCCGGATATAGGCTCGATACTCATGAATGCTTGATATGTTTGAGGTCAAGCAGCAATTAAATACTGCAAAAATCACAGTACCAGCCAGGAATCAGCACTTCTGAAGATTTTCAAAATATACATCAACTCTAAGTGGAAAATTGTTTCAAGAATTTATCGAAAAATAACATTAGGATCATTAAGGACATTCCCAGTTAAAGATAAATAGGAAAAAGTAACAAGAAAAATGAAAGAAAATTTGAGACATTTAAACACCGCAAATAAATCCAAGTTTCAAGAAAATTTTCTTTAAAAAAAAAAAAAATACATTCAACACATCAAACAATGTTAGCAGCTTACATACAAAAAACCCTTTCAGAGATCTCCAAAAGCCCTTCCGGCAGCTTACGGTCGGAAATTTTGCCGGAAAGCGCCATACTTTGCACCGAAATTTCAACCTCAAACACCCACAACCTCAAACACCCACAAACTGCCCCAAATTACAAAATCTCGAGAAAAACAAGAAAGCCCAGGAGACAAATTTGTCTGCACAAACAAAATAACAACATAAAAAGGTGGCTTATTTGGGCAACATTTTATTTATCCTTAACATTCAAGAAAGTGAAATCTGAAGGCAGAGGGTGTGTGATGAACGGCGAAGAAGATGACCAGAAGTCGCCGACGGTCGAGGAGAAAAAGGAAAAGACTGTGCCTTTAGGGTTTGGGTTTTGAGTGTTTCTCAAATGCGGGATTTACTTGTTAAAGTTTAATATTGTTATTTGGGTTATGTTTTTGGGCTTTATTTACTTAGTTGTGTGGAATTATTTTAGAAGAAATTACATCTCCCACCACCAATTAACATTTTTAATACACATTTATAACTCATATAAACTTATTTGTAAATTACCTCAAAGTATGATTTTTATTTACAAACATACCAGATTATTAATGACAAATAATTATTTTTAATTATGGTAAGAGCATATTTAATGAGCTATAATTATTACGCCTTTTCTCTCTCTATCTTTTATTCTTCTTTTCTCTTCCTCTTTCTCTCTTTCATCTTCATCTTCTATAGATCCGCCATTTTTCTCCTCCCCCAGTGGTGATAGGCTTCGAATTAACTGTGAGTTTAGACAAAACAATCTCGTAAATTTGCACAATTTCATCCGTGCTCAAGGGCAAAATGACTCTACCATTAAAAACCCTAAGTTTTTTTTTCTCTCTCCCCTTCACCATGGCTCGGAATTGATCGAGGATTAGGGGCAGCAGGGGCTTCATCCCAACACCATCACCATAAGACCCTATTTACCTCATATCTAGAGAGAAATTTTCCATTCTGGAAACTCACACAATCTTGTGTAGCTGGATGATATCATACTTTCAAAATACATTTTGCGAAACCCAAAATCTGGAATTGTACAAAGAAAATCTCGTGCAAAATTTACATTTGTGTTCCTTACATTTTTTAGAAGTTTTGACAAAGTAAGAGAATTTCTATCCGCATCCTTCATTTAGCTTCAGCAAGTTCCAAATCCATGTAAATACTATTAGAGGAATTTAGAGGAATACAATGCTAATTTGCTCTGTTTTTTTGTTGTAATGCTTTGGATATTCTAGTATTAACTTATAATTTGTTGGTCTGTGTGATGATGTCCTTGTAGTCCAGTATATGTATAGTATATGTACAGTATATGTATAGTATATGACTCGTGTGTTGTTCAATAGTTTTTTAAAATGGAGTATATGTACAGTATATGTGTAGTACATGCGACTCGTGTGTTGTTCAACAGTTGGTACAAGTTATGTAAAAAAAAAAAGCAACATATACTGAAAATATACTGACTGATTTTGTTGTCCAAGAGTTGCATGCGAAATTGGACATTCGACTCGGTAAAAGTTATATAAATAAAGACGGGGTATAGATATACTAAAAATATACTGAAAATATATGGGGTATAAACGCAACATATACTAAAAATATTCATTAATAGTGATGTTTTTATGATTTTTTTTTTTTTTTTGCTGNNTGGATTTGTTGAGTATATGTATGATTTATTTTTACTTATCAATGATTGTTTAATTATGTTTTGTATAAGCTTGAGATCGCAGGACGTGAACTACACATATATACAAGTAAGGTAACTAGTTTGAGTTTCTGGTATTCATTCCATATTAAAAATATTTTTTTATTTGTTTTTTTATGCAACTGGATGCAAATCATGCGTAAAACAAGGAGTGGAAGTTGCAATGACATGGTAACTTAATTATGCATTAATGTAGTTAAGTATTATATTTTAGGTAAAAACACAATTAATTTTATTTGTGTTGTATTGTTGCAATATTTTTCACATCGTGTAGGAGAGATAAAAATCTCCCATTATTTTAAGCAAGTTAAGTTGGGCCGGTTAGGGTTAATTTGTTAGCCCAACATACTATCTCTATTTGTAGTTTCAAGGAATGAAGTAAAGGAATGAAAAATGTCATTTTCCCTAACTACTTTCTCTCTCCTCTCTCCTTCTCTCTCTACACGTTTTCTCTCATCTGTTTCTTCTTCCCCAATCTACTCAAATTCAAGCTAAAATTACAGTGAAATATTATAAGAAAATACAAAAATATATCAGCCCACTACAATTGGTACGCAGAGCTCTCGATCCTTGGAGTATGGCCGAAAACACACGTTTGAAGGATCTGCAGGAAAATCAGAAAAGATTAGATCAATTCATACACACCGAATCCATGAAAAGAGAAGCAGTGGAGGTTAAATTGCATGAACAAATGATGGGAATGGGATCTGAATTGCAGGAAAAGATCTCGAGCATCAACAATGAATTACAACAACAACTGGGCAACTTAGACATCAAATATGATCATGTATCTAACGCGCTAGCAACCATACAACTTCAGCTACTGAACTTGAGCAAAAGTAAAAAAGGCCGAGGAGAGGAATCTATCTTGGGAACTCCCCATTTGCAGCATTCTACTGGTGGGAGGCCACCATTCAAACAACCTCAGATGAACAGGACACCTTTGCAGTTGGAAAATCCTGCACCAAATCACTTTATCAGCCCTTTACCCAAGGTAGATTTTCTTAAATTTGATGGGTGAAACCCCAGGGGATGGATTCTCAAGTGCCATGGGTATTTCCAGATTATTCCTAATATTCCTGATGGGCAGAAAATTGTGTTAGCCTCCATGCACTTTGAGGGCAAAGCAGCTCAATGGTACCAGACCTTCTGTACCAAATTTGAGGGTTGTACATGGCAACAGTTTTTGGAGATAATTTCTTCTAGATTTGAAGAAATTAGGGAATCCAAAATTATTGGTGAATTTAACAAGCTAAAACAAACTGGGCCTTATGAAGATTATGTGGAGAAATTTGAGGAATAAAGGTCATGTATGCTGCTGTTTAACAGGGGTGAATTCTCTGAAGACTACTTTGTTGCAAGCTTCTTAAGTGGGCTGAGTGAGGAGGCTCAATCTTTTATCAACATGTTTGACCCTAAAACCTTGCAGCAGACCATTGAATTGGGAAGGAAACAACAATGCACAGTGGATGCAATAGTGAAAAGGGTCAAGGTACCTCATAAACACTCCAATCAATTCCTACACAACAGGAAGACTGACCACCAAGCTTCTAAGACTCCCAACTCTAGTGTTCAGTATAAACCACCAATCAAAATGTTGACAGCCCATGAAATGGCAGCAAGGAGAGAAAAGAGTTTATGCTATAATTGTGATGAGCCCTATGTGGTGGGGCATAGGTGCAAAAACAGGATGAATTATATGATTATGACAGAGGATGAGGAATTATCATTTTTGGGTTTGGAAAGGGAAACTGAGGAAACACAAGAAGGAACCGACATTGAAGAAATACAAATGTCTTTGAACTCACTCACAGGGGGACAAAGTTTAACTACTATGAGGTTCACTGGAGAGTGTAATGGGCAAAAGTTACACATACTTATTGACTCTGGAAGTACTCTGAGTTTTATTCAAGAAGATACAGCCCAAAAATTAGGTTGTTCACTTCAAACAGTTAAACCAATCATGGTCAGAGTGGCTAATGGGCAGAGAATGGTGAGTTCTCAAAGGGTAGATGGTTTTTAGTGGGAAATGCAAGGTCACTGTTTTAATTATTCTATGAGGCTGCTGAAGACTGAGGGTTGTGACCTCATTCTGGGAGGGGATTGGAGCCTGCACACCCATCACTCTAGATTATGATAAAATGACAGTCACTGTCACAATGCAGAAGAAAAAGATCAAGTTACAAGCCATCATATCTAAGGAGAACTGTAATTTCATCTCAGGAGAGGCTCTGTTCAAAATGGTGCACCAAGATAACACTCAGATTGAGGAGATTTTTCTTTTATCCATTGAAGAAGACAACCCAAGGGTGGACACTAAGCTACAAGAATTACTCTCCCATTTTGAAGACATTTTTAAAGAACCACAGGGGTTGCCACCAGAGAGAGGAATAGTGCATCAAATCATCCTTAAGGCTGACAGTGTACCAAAGCATCAGTACCCTTACAGGACTTCCCATGCTCAGGAAAATGAAATAGAAAAGTTGGTCAAAGAAATGCTTGAGGCAGGGATCATCCAGAATTCTAAAAGTCCTTTTGCTTCACCTGTGATTCTAGTGAAAAAGAAAGATAACACTTGGAGGATGTGTGTGGACTATAGGTATTTGAATGGGCTCACAGTTAAGCATGATTATCCAATTCCCATAATTGATGAATTGCTGGATGAGATGCATGGTTCCAGGTACTTTTCTAAAATAGACCTAAGGTCTGGCTACTTTCAAATTCTGATGAAGACAGAGCACAGAGAACTCACAGCCTTTGCCACACACAATGGCCACTATGAGTTTCTGGTTATGCCATTTGGTTTGTGCAATGCACCAGCCACTTTTCAGTCACTAATGAATCAGGTTTTCAGACCCTATCTAAAGAAATTTGTGTTGGTTTTCTTTGATGACATTTTGGTTTATAACCCTTGTTGGCAATCACACCTCATGCACTTGGAGACAGTATTAAGGCTCCTAAGAGAAAATCAGTTGTATGCTAAGTTGTCTAAATGCCAGTTTGGTCAAACTGAGGTTGAGTACCTTGGGCACATCATTTCTTATCAAGGTGTAGCTATTTGATCCAAAGAAGATATACAGCATGCTAAGTTGGCCAAATCCAAAAAATTTCAAGCAGCTCAGGGGTTTTTTGGGTCTGACAGGTTATTACAGGAGGTTCATTAAGGACTATGGTGTCATTTGCAAGCCTATGACAAATGTTCTTAAGGGAGATAAATTTGTATGGACCAAAGAAGTAGGAGAGGCTTTTCAGCAGCTAAAAGGAGCTTTAACCACAGCACCTGTTCTAGCCATGCCAGATTTCACACAACCTATCATTTTAGAGACTGATGCTTGTGGTACTGGGATGGG